GTGGAATAAATAAAATAGAAATATCTTAATGCACGTTCTCAGAGTTTCAGATCCCCGTTTAATGGTGCTGAGCCATGACCCATTTGGCAGTCTGTTTTGTGACCAAGTGGTAAAGGCATTGAAGGGGGAGTCACATTCAAATGGTGTTAGTGGTGCAAGGGGTGGAGGTCGTCCGTTACTCGATGCCGGCTCTAAAGGTTCCATGGGATTCAGCGGAGGTGACAGGGATTTGTGGGTGCCAGGCTGGATGCAACACATCTGAGTTATATAACAGATAGTTGGGTGAGTCCAGGTCAGGGGCAATTTACACTGTACTTAAAATGACAGACACCTCACAAGATGCATTTTAATATCATGGACATAGTAATTGTTTCATTTCAGTTATAGTTCACCCAGTTGAAGATTTTTCATCCAAGTAAAACCAAACTGATTAATAAATAAAGGTCCACTTGTAATCTTCATTTGGACTTTTTTCACCCAGTTTCTATCTTCTATGTATTCAGTGTTTGAGTCAGTGGAGCTGATGACAACAACTTTTGGTTGAAAAATGTTAATAGTGTGAGAAGTACAGCTGTAGCTTGAAGTTACACTCATGTGTCCAAAGGTTGATTCTGTTCATCTGGACGTAGCGTTTTGTGGGAGAAACGTTTCGTCACTCGTACAGGTGACTTCTTCAGTCTCAGCTGACTGCAGGTTTCAATCTTATAAACAGTACATTTGCATAATGACTGAAACCAGCCCACTGAAGGAACAATGGGCTGGGAGGTCAGTTCCTTAATCTTAATTATGCAAATTCTCATGACCATTGATCAACAACCACTGACCAAAACCCGCTGCTCAAAGACCACTGATCAATGGCCATGAGTACCATTCACAGAGAGTTGGGGAATGGCTGCAATCACTGTAAGATGGCGAAAGATGATTGAGAATGCATCAAGACGTTACACTCATGTGCATGGACTTCATGTTAATTTTGGGCTTTTAATGATTTCTGAAACTGTTCTAATTCCTGGGTGGAATGATTGCACAGCGTACCTCTTTAACGGCTTTAAAAAACAAGAATTGGATGTACGATTTTGCATTTTGGGGGGATTTTCCTTAATCCACACAGGGTCAAAGTATAAATACATGCCCACTAATATTTGCCAAAAAGTTAATTCTGTTCATCTGGACGTGGGAGAAATGTTTCATCACTCATTCAAGTGACTCTTGGCAGAATTGGTAGAATTCATTTAATCTGGTTGGTTACATAGCACAAATGTGCAGTAGGCTTGAGGTCGGGACTTTGGGAAAACTACTCCAGAAGCTTAATGTTAGCCTACTTTATCCATTTCAAAACCAGTTGTGATGTTTTTTGGGATCATTTTCCTGTTCGAACATGCAGCTGTGTCCAAGTTTCAACTGCCTCATAATGAATGTGAGTAAATGCCTGAACAAAACTGTACCAACTGTACAACAGTTACATCAAAGTCACCTTTTGGTTTGTGGACTTGAATTTATTAGAGCTAAGTGGCCATATTTGAATGAGATTGTAGATCATGAAGATAGCTGCTAATTTGTGCTAAGTGTCAGACTAATAAATAATTGGATCACCAACTTCTTCAACTAGCTAGTTCCCAGACTCCAGACATGTGCATCAAAGTCACCACAGCTTTCATTTCAAGATGCCAGCTTTTTAAACAAATCCAAAAAAGTAGAATTATAAAAATATTTTCCACTGTGCAGTTGAATTGAGGGCATAAAATACTTAAAGAGTTTTTTAAATGTTTTTTTTTTAAAAATCAAACTTTAAACATGTTTGTTTCTGCAGTGAAATGAGTAATTTCAACAGTCTTGTGGGGATTGATGTACTTTGGGACAGCCTCAAGTGGCCGTTAGAGGAACTGCAGATTTTAGCACTGATATGTTGGTTTTATTTTTGGCTGTAGTGTGGAGCTTAGGTCTCGCACTAAATTTTTGCAGTTTATGTTGGGAGCTTTGATTGTTTCAGATTTCTTTTGCCCTTATTTGCATATCCACACTTCCACAGTCTGTCTTGTACTCTTCCTCTATCTGTCTCTGTGGCATTTGGCTGGCAGGATGGGATTGTGTTGTTGCCACCTGCTGTTGCCTGTCAGAGCTGTCTTGTGGGTAATTGTACATCAGGCACAGAGCACGTCTCAGGCAAAGGCTTGCAGGAGATTAGGTGCTGACCCACAATGTGAGCTGACAGCTGAGGAGTGTGAGCCAGCCACATATATCTACGTGTGTGTGTGTTTGTGCAGGGGGGCATGGGAGGGGTGTTGATAACTGAAAAAACAATGTCGCAAGTAATGTAAGTAACAGTTGGCATTTATTTTGAGTCATGTTGTGTAAATGGTGAATGTTAGTTTCCTTTTCACTCTCGTGTGGTCTCCACTAACTCCTGAGGAACATACACATACATGCCAAAAGTATTCACTCACAAATCCAAATCCCTGAATTCAAATGTTCCAATCACTTCCATGGCCACAGGTATATAAAAATCAAGCAGGCAGGCAGACTGCTTCTAAAAACATTTGTGAAAGAATGGTTTACTCTCAGGAGCTCAGTGGATTCCAGAGTGAAACCATGATACCTGCAAAACAAGTCCAGTTGTGAAATTTCCTCTCTGCTAAAAGTTATTGGCATTATATAAGCGGAAGCAATTACAAACAACAGCCACTCAGCTATGAAGTGGTACACCACGTAAAATCACTGAACAGGGTCAGCGAATGCTGAGGTACATAGTGCACAGAGTTTGTCACCTTTCTGCAAATTCAGTTGCTACAGACCTCCGAACTTCAAACAGCCTTCAGATTAGCTCGAGAACAGTGCATAGAGATCTTCATGGGATGCTTTTCCAGGGCCGAGCTTCTGCATCCAAACCTTACATTACTGAGCGCAATGCAAAGCGTCAGATGCAGTGATATAAAGCATGCCACCACTGGGCTCTAGAGCAGTGCAGATGTGCTTTCTGGAGTCACAATTCATGCTTCTCCTTCTGGCAATGTAAAGGATGAATCTGGGGTTGGAGGTTACCAGGAGAGTGCTGTCGGGTGGTTCTTCAGGAGTTGGACTCGCCCCCTTATTTCCAGTGGAAGAAACTCTTCAGCATACCAAGACAATTTGGACAATTTGGCGATGGCCTCTTCCTGTTCCAACATGTCAAAAAAGACATGGATGAGCGAGTTTGGTGTGGGAAACCGTAACTGGCCTCCACAGGGTCCTGACCTCAACCTGATAGAATGCCTTTAGATGAATTAGAGCAGAGACTGTGAGAAGGGCAGGTTGAACATCAGTATCTGACCTCACAAATGTGCTTCTGGAAGAAAAACTCCCATAAACACTTCTAAACCTTCTGGAAAGCCTTCCCAGAAGAGTTGTAGCTGTTGTTGCTGTTTACTTTAACAGCTGACATTTACGTGTGCCTGTCTGCTGTTTGGTGCTTAGTGGGTGTAATAACTTATTTGGTAAAACCTGCTTCCTGCTGCACCTGGAAGCTCAATAACACAAGTCAGGCTGAGTCACACAGCAGAACATAGAACCAAAACAGAGAGATAACTGTGATTGTTTCTCAGGTTTATCATTATATAAATATGAGAACTATCCAGTGATCAAAAAAGCCCAGCACATACACAGGTGTTATAAATTATTCCAGCTTTGTGGATTTGTGGAGTCAAGAGTTACAGGATGTAAACAAATGCCAAATGCAATAAAACTGTTATTGGGAAAGTGAAAGAACTGTTGGTCAAGCATCATGTCAGTGCCATTTGTGTGTTTAAATGATGGTGCTTACAGATGTAGACGAACGTCATGCGACTCATACAATTTGTGTTTGTGGCGTTGGCTTCGAGGAAAGACTCAGTGCTGAGCTACTCTGTGTTCCCACAACAACTGCAAAGTTTCTTAAGAGTTGTGAAACCTGAGTGCAATGTGTGCCTAATTACTTACTGTGCATGTGTGTGTGTGTGAGTGACTCAGCTGTCTCCACACCGCCGGAACAGATTCAGAGTGACTGGAAGCACTTGAACCAATCAGATCACTTGGGATGGAGTGGGTGTGTTTCAGAGTGCACGCTCTGATTGGACCTGGGGTCCGCTGGAGTATAAACAGCACAATAAACCGCCTATGAGTGTTTCATCACAGTCAAGTGATGTGATTAAGTCATACATAAAGAATAACAGTGATTACATCCAGACTTTGTTGCTTTTCGTCTTAAAAGTAGTTTACCAAGTTGAATGTTTTTAAGAAGAAAATTAACAAACGTTGTTGCCAAAACTGTACCTGGATAACCTTTACCTGTTGGCATCTCTCTGTTTTTGTCTATACTACAAAGTAAGCATATTATTTTTATGATAATTCCATAAAAATACTCCAAAAGGTACAAATAGCACAAACACGGTTAAGAAGTCCAGTTCAGGTGAAGCTGGCTGACAGCTACACCTCATCAGTCAAAGCTATAATAAATCGGTCAAAATTATTTTTTTGTACTACACCATAAATACGTTTCTACAGTAACGTCTTGTCTTTCGAACTTCTTTTGACTCCTGGATTTTGCCTCTTGGTTTAAACACCCAGACAAATACAAAAGGGTGGAAACTGTTTGTCCGTAAGTGACAGCGAATTGGGGTCGAGGCCCACACAATGCTGAAAGGAAAAGGGCATGACAAGCGTCAAACTTTCCCTTGAGCTAAAAGTTTTGACAGCATCGATCAACACGCAGACAACATTGTGTTTCTTCTCCTCTGTTTGTCCAATGCATGTCACTGAAACAAGAGCAGGTGTGTTTAGGAGACCGTTGTTGTTGGATCGGTGTTGTTGATACAGGCTGTTGTTGTTGCCCCCCACCCCACCCAACTGCACCCAAACCAGCCCAACCTAGCCCAACCCCATCCCTCTGTACTCCTGATGGCTGCCGGATGGAATGTAGTGTGACTCGGTTATTTTTAGACGGGGTCACTTGAAATACTCCAAGCGGGGCTTCATTGAGGATAAACAGAAGCTGCTCTCGTGCAGTGTGTCACACTTAAAAGCTGAGCTTACCTCAAGCCTAGGTTTGCATTTTGTAACAACTGGAAAACATTTAAATTAGGTGTTTCTTTTTTTCTACCATTATCCGTGATCCAGTTTTTACCTGGCTGTTTTATTTGCACCATTTAGCCCTCTGAAGGTGCCTGAAGACCTTGAGATGTCTCCTGAAGACCATGGGGCAGGATTGAGGTACAAATTTGTGTCCTGGAGAGGAAGCCAGAATAGATTTAAGGAGCAATGACTTGTCTGGTCTGCTAATCCAGATCCAGTAGAAAGAATTTAGCTGTTTTTACAGTTGGAAACATGCAGATATTTGGACAATTTTAGTTGTATTTGTCCCTTTATTGTAGGCTTGAAAACGCATGGATCTGAGATTTACTGATTTTTTTGGCAGAAATGAAGGAGATGATGTAGCACTTTTAACTGAACAAACTCAAGTACTTTAAAGAAAAACTGAAAACTTTTATTTTTGGGGGGTTGGGAGGGTGACCTGAACTTACTAAAGAATCTCAACGTAAAGTTAGATCATACTAAAATTATTAAATTTATAATACATTCAACTCTTGATGTCAGTCTGAATAAAGAAGCACCACAGAACAGATGAACTTTGAAAAGTTGTGTCATTGGGCCATGTCTGTCTGTTCCACTGGTTTCTTATATAACTTGCTTGTTTTGGCTTCATACGCAGACACTTGCAGACTGCTCTTTCACGAAGGCATTAAATGTAAACTCCATCAGCTGGAATTCTGATTTCTCGCTCTGTTAATATCAGTCTTTTTACCTGTGTGTCTCTACGCAGAGCATAATCAGGTATTAGTTGCGTCAGAGTCAGGTTTTCTGTGGTAAACACCCACATAAACGGGGGGCAGACACAAGTGAAGAGCTGAGATGTTTTTGCCGCCATTCTTTGCATTGTTTGTCTTTCTATTTTTAAACTGCAGTCACTGGGCTTGTTAGAGGCTCAGACGTGCCGCTTTTTCCGTGTTCTGTTGTTTCAGAGCCTTTTAGTTTCTATTGGACTATTGCCTGAATCCTTCATACATGTGACTAATAGTGACCCACCAGTGGATAACAGTGCTCAGTGGTGGTGTGTAAGAGTCTGGGGCAATGAAACATGATATAGTCTTTTCTCAACAAGTATCCAGAGAGCATGGGGCAGGAGTTTTGAGAATGCACATGTTGAAGGTTGACTACTACTTTAAGTTGTGCAAACACTTTTTGGTTAAATCTAAAGTCAGAAACTGGTGATATTCACTGGAAAATCTTGCAGATAGAGGCTACCAAGAAGTGTAAACATAAACCCAATATTCATACTTTTGATCGGATAATTTTTGGGGGAGTTGAAGGCTGGGTCAATGTCTTGAAATGTGTTTTTTTCCATTCCCATTGAGATTTTGTGGTGTGTTTACTGACATCATTGCTGTTGGTTGGTTGGTCCACTCGGTTGTGGACGTGAATGGGGGCAGTTGCCGATCCAATCACACATTTTCCAAGTCTGCTTGGGCTCCAAGGCTGCCTCAAGGAGTATGGGTTGTTGGTAAACTCTAGTGCAATGTCTGCATAGACAAGTCTGATTGGTCATCTTGATAAAAATCGAACAATTTTATTAAGGTCGCCTGTCAGTATACAAATGAGAATGAAAGATGGCTACTTGCCACCAGCTTACTTTTTAACGTGAAAAGTGTGTTACTCTGCTCAGAGAAATGGGTAGATTTTAACATTTCTTTGAAAGCGTTTTGGTTTGTTCCTTCACTTCTTGTGTCATGATTGCAATGAAGATGATGAGGTTAATATAATGGGTAGTGTTAACAAGTGTTAATGAACAGATTTCAAGATTTTAGCATGTATTTAGAAGGAATTTAGTCAGGCAAAATCACACCTAGCTTCCCTTCTTCAGCCTTAATGCAACAACAGAATCAAGAAAGTCCCCTGAGCAGAAAGTTTGTCTGTCTGGTGACCCCCACCAGAAAGGTCAAGATCAAAGTAGGTCAAAACATCTGCTGAATGTGCATTCATTTCCCAGCTGATGCAAATATTACTGTAAAAGTCAAGCTGGATGGAAAACTAAATGGGATTTACTAATTTCAGAACAAGCAATCATCCATATGGCACTGTATCGCATCACATCCACGAGGCCTCTGTGTCAGCTGTAAAGCTGGATTTGCCAAAGAAATTACCAAGCAACAAGCTCAAACAAACAAATGTGGTGAAACTTTACAGAAGAGCTGCATGTCTTTTTAGGGAGATGTCTGGCTTTCGTGGAATGGATAAATTCTTACCTTGTCAGCCCATCCATGTTGCTATAATTGCTTTGCAATTTTACTGTCACATGTTCAGCACACCATCTTGCCTGGAAAGCAAACTCCTACAGGGCGCTGGAAGTCGAGAGGGGATCAGCGGGTTGAGTTTTCGTCATCAGGGTTATGTGAGACAAGGCTGGGTGTGTGGGTCAGGTGGATGTAAAAGAGATACTCTCGCTTCTCGTGGCCTAGGTGCCAAACTGAAGCATGATTGTGGGGAGGGAGAATTGGACTGAGCTGCAGATAAAGTGGAAGTTTAACTGATAAGTTCTGACTGTTTAATTTCTATGGCTGAACTAAAACAGTTTCTCTTTTTCAACACAAATACAGGGCGTTTTTGGATCGTAGCAGATTACAAATTTATACAGACAATTTGGATTATCATTTTGAGTCAATGCAAATGATCTGTGTTGGGTCGGACAGTGTAATAAAAGTAAATATAACAACGACTTGGTGGAGTCCATCTTTAATGCTGGTCAAGGATGAAAGAATAATGGAGATGACTGCAGACATGGCACTGATTGTGTTAGTAAGCAAAAAAATGAGGTTCTGGGCAGAAGATGGGCTGCAAAGTGGCTTGCAGAAGTGCAGCAACTGTAAACAACTTTTCACCATATGAGATTTACCGGTTGCATGCATAGGATGGTATCAGTTAAATCACCTTAGTAGTCAAGTTTAGTTAGTTTAATGCTCTGTTTGTGAGACAGTGAAACTGTGAATGTGGAGTTAAAAGCTGTGCAAGGAAAGAAGAAAACCAACCTTGGTGAAGATCGTTTCCAGTATTAGCAGCTGCCAGCAAATGCTAATATGCAATACTTAGGCTGAATAAGCTTTTCCTAAAGACCTGCCAAGAATAGGGATAAATCTGGGATACGTCAGAAATACCACATTAAGTCACACCGTGCTGGAAGTAATTTTTTTCTTTTACAAATGTCCATTTATCAGCATGTGCTGGTAAATTTGTATCAAGTTGCACTCAGAAAGAAAGAACAAGCTCATATTATTAGTGACAGACTTTCAGCGTAAGTCATTGGAGGTAAACGTGGCCTTAAGCTGCCAAACGCTGCAGAGCCACTGGGCTACAGTAGTGATCCTACTTGTATTTGTTAAGCTTCCCCTTCCACACTGTTTACTGCATCAATCATTCACTGGAGTTAAATCAGACTCAGAAAAGAGTTAGGTTCTGTGTAAAATGTAACACAGTCTACAAAACTGTCAGTATTTTGATATGAAGCTAACATTTGTTGGTTAACTGGTGGAAACCTGTCTAGCTGCTGTAGTAACTTGAGCCCCATCACCATTTCCCACCAGCTGTTTCCACCAGGACAGCTGCAACCACAGGACATGTAGTTTCCATCCTCAGCTGGATAAAGTGGGATATTTAATATGAGGAACATGGTTGAGACATTTCCAGCTTTTACACTGACAATGACAGATTAATTTGGTCTGAACAACAGTAGAAATTTCTCTTAGTACACTATGGATTTATGTTTGAACTTGAAATGCTCTTGTTTATTTTAGGTTGGATAAACAATAACAACAATCTGGGAAATGAGTCAGTAGGCTAAATAGACAGCAGGAAAACAAAGGTAACAAGCTACAGGTGAATTTAATCAAACACTAAAGAGGACAGGGCAAATACCAAAGGAAGGAAGCAGACACAGAAAGAAATATGAAGACCTAACCTTTAAAATAAAACAAGAAGTAAACCAAAAAGGAGACCAGAATAAACTTTGACAACGACGAGACAAAGGTGCAGGGTAGACTGAGGCTTTCTTCTGCAGAGTGATCACATTTCATAGGTATATTTTAGTGTAAGAGACTGCTCACACTGAGTTTGAGATTTTTGTAATAACTGGGTCCAGATTTATGCTTTTCTTTCTGCAAATTTTTGCTATTTATTTCCATCATATTCACGAGAAGATAGTAGGCTAAACAGCTCTAGAAGTAGTATTTTGCTTCCTGTTTGAGGTCGTGAGAAAGCACATCAATCTGATTTAAGTCCAGATCTTGACTAGGCCATTACAAAATCTTTTTCTTTGTTCTTTGAGCCATTCAGAGGTGACCTTTCCAGAATCACTGTCCTGGTGATAGATGTTTCTGGTGTTACATTATACACTAGTAGATGCTCATTTATCACATTTTAGCTTTACTAATATTACGTTGCATTACAGCCTGGGGAACTGAAAGTAGCTAAGAGAGGAAAGATGACTTTAGCTGCCTCATACTCATATCTATTTATCACACATGACCTACACACGAGCCACACCTGTGCCTTTCATAGCTGTTTTATATCTGAAGAAAACACGAGAGGCTGATAGTGGAGCTTAAATAGGAGGTGATGTTCGGGAACTCCCATCCTGGAGCGGAAAGTTTTATAAATCATCAGGTGGCCCAGAATTCCCAGCAGTGCCACAGCATGGAAACCAGTTTCACATCCCTATTCCCATCCCACACCTGTCTGCACAGTCATCGTGCCAATGTTATTGTAGGCTTCCTAATTTAAACAATGGCATTTGCATTGGAGTGGCTTTTTACTTGGACTAAAATTTATTAATGACCCTCAACGAAGCAGAATTTCAAGCCTCTGACAGCAATGTAATCCCCTTCTTAGTTTGTCAAATGCTGGTCCTATTTTTAATGCGGAGTCACCGTAAAGTGTGTCAGCATGATCTAGTCCAGTCAATTTATTGGAGGGGACTATGAAAACAGACTAAAGCAAGAAATGCAACAGAACTAGAAAACTTAAAAAACACAGAACTCTGGGCAACAGACCCACGACCACGACAATTTTAGCCTTTCATGTCTAAATTATGGAGGCTATTAGAGTAGCAGCATCATTAGAGCTCCAAATTTACATTTTAGAGGCCCATTGTTTCAAGCACAGTCAGGAGTGTTATCTTCAATTTAATTAACATTCCTCTGTCTTTGTCTCTTTATAGCTGGGAGATCATTGATTCAGGCCAGGACAGCCGGACTGGGGTTGGACCTCAGCTTACTGACTCCCTCAGACTCTTCCTGCAAGAGACATCAGCTTTCAAAAAGCAAAACCCAGGCAAGGTGAGGCAGAGACGACATACCTGATGTATGTCATGAACAAAGCATATATGTATACTGTATATATATATATATTTAGTATAACAATTAGTTAATAAATTATTGAAATCTGTATAAAACAATTCTACCATTCAGCATTGTTGGAAAATACCTGTTTGCTTTATAACTTCACTGTCTGTAATTTGTGTCTGAAGCTGAAGCTTGGAGGGATTTTGCATATCTGTAAAACCAGAAATACTAAAACAGTTTATTGTTGAGGGGGAGTTTAGTTTGTAACTGACAGCAAAAAGTTCTTTGTTTTTGCCTCTCTGTTTTAGTTTTGCCTGCTGGTTTGCAGTGTGTGCACTTTCTTTGCTGTCTTAGGACGCTACATTCCAGGGATCGTTATCTCGTATATTCTAGGTGAGTCCTCAAAGATTTGCTCAACAAAAGGTCAAGTTATCAACTGAAAAACCCATTTGAATCACATTTTTTGTCTGGTTTCCGAGAGGTAACCCTTGTGTTGTCCTCGGGCCAAAAATGGTCCATAGTTGAATAGCAAACAAGTAGATGGGAATCCCAAGGACAGCACAAGTTAAACAGCACATATGATGAATATCGCATGCTGAATTTGAGCTTGCTGTACACATTTTATTCTGCAAAATAAGCTGACATTGTTTTTCTTCCTCTGTGAAGTGTTGGGTGTCTTTCTGTGGCCTCTGATTTCATCTCATGACATCAGCTCGTGGCTGGAGCCAGTTCTGCAGAAGCTGGACTTTGGCATCGGCGAGTTTTTTCAGAAAATCAAAGAGAACCACGGTAAATATCATGCAATTTGTTTTTACTCATTATCCAAACAAGGACATGAGATCAGGAAGTGACTCACCATGTGTTTTTTTTTAAGACAACTACCTGCCAAACTGCTGCAAACCTATATGACCTTTATTTTTCTATTATGTAGACCTAACCAGAACAAATCTTTAAAAACTTTAACTGAAGTTTTGTTGCAACTCGTAAAAGTCTCCTTTGGCATATGCAATATGAGCCATATATCTCAACAACACATAACAAGCATAATGTAAGGGTCTGTTGTTTCTGCTCTGCAGTTCATTAAGACTGTTTTTTCATTTGACCCAAAGTTAAGTGTGCAGGTAAATTGACATTAAGGTCACGGCTTGACCTAGATTTGACATTATTGTGAAATGCTGCATAGCATGTAGGAACTATTGTAGAAATGTACACTGAATGTGGAGTAGATTTTTTATAAACATGCTTATTTAAATAGCAAGTAAACATTAAAAAGATTTGTTATCATGTAAAAATCAGTTTACCTTTTTTATCCAGTATTTTGCCAGAGAACTAAATCAGTCTTATCCATGTTTTTCTTTTTTTTTCTTTCAGAAAAGCGACTCCTGCAGGCTCAGAATGAGAAAGAAGGCATTGAGTCAGACCTCTCCTCTATGTTTCCAAAGGTTGGCTAATCATCTTCTCATCTTAATGTAATTATGCCTCTGTTGACTGATAGCATCCAGTTAAAGCTAGTAAAATTCAATACACATGATCCACATCACCATCAGCATGGGACAAATTCAATGGCAAGAAATGCTTTAACGTTTTTCTCCTCATGCCAAACACTGAGCTGCTGGTTGAATTCACTGAGTGCACTTCCCTGTCACGCTCACTATTAGAGCGTTCAAATCACTGTGCAAATATAATGAATGCAATGCAGAAAGAATGTGTTGTATGCCTTGTAAGCCTCAAGTGACTTCAGGATTCTGCAGTTTCATGCACTTAGTTGTTATGCGGCTTCATCTTTTAGTCCCGGATGTCACCACTTTGTCTGAGTCAACCAATTACCAGCTCAGATCTGGGTTTGCACTATAAAATCTGACGTCTGCGTGTGTCTCTCTCCCCCAGCTCGACTCCACAGTGTGTAAAGAGATGTCTGTCTCGGACACAGAGGTGTCAGATGTCACATGGACAGACAATGGTACTTTCAACCTGTCAGAGGGACACACACCACAGACTGAGAACTCAGAGGGTAAGTTTCATTTGACGCTCTTCTGACTGACGCCGAGAGCTACTTTGTGTCTCACATATTTAGGTAACTGGTGTTTCTTCCTTTTTGTGTCGGGGCCACTTTGATCAGACTTTGACAGAGAAGAACCGTTCATTGGTGGCCTACCTGAATTCCCTTCACTTGATAATGGCATGACCACCAATGGCGACGACGACGACGACCTCAGCCTCGGCCTTGCTTCACCTCCAACTCGGCTCCAGGATCCAATCAAATCCAAGCACGAACCTCAAGACCAGTCCACCAATGCCCTCGATTTGGTCAACCAGATGGCAGGTGAAGTTATCACCGCTGCAGTCACAGCTGCCATCCAGGAGAGAATAGAAGCAGCAGTCAGCTTCATGACGCCAACTGAAGACCCCAAGCGGGCGGGACTCACAGAATCGAGCAGGCTGCTGGAGCTGACCGAGGAGTCGGACAGCGAGGTGGAGGACTTTGAGCTGCTGGACCAGTCAGAGTTGGAGCAATTGGAGGGGGAGCTTGGCCTCGGAGAGAAGGCCAAAGCCAAAGAAGAGGTGCAGACCGACAGTCCCGCCTCTTCTGGCTTCTTGTCCAAACTCCTTAAACGCCACTGACGGATGAAAAGTTTGAAAGCAGATGGTGAGGTGTGGTTTCCAGAGGACATGTGGAGGGGAGGCAACTTTATAGAGCTGTGAGAACACAGAGTTTCAATTTAGCTTCTTCCTGTTAAGCAAACATCTACAGAACTGATCAGATAGTGCTGTCTTTTTTTTTAATCGAACCAGAGTAGCCCAAAGCTGAGACCACACCATATACCCTAATAATGGCTGACCAAACTGAGGCCTCTAAGATGATTTCAGTAACTAATGAAAGATCCAGGCTCATCTGAAAACAGGCGTATGGATTTTTTAAATTTATACTTTTATTATTTGCTATCAGTCAGGTGGAGGCTGGTCACTCACGTTTATAAGGCTTTATATGACTTTCAAATTAACACTGAATTGACTTAGGCGTAGTTTTTAGGTTACAGTGTCGCTATGTGGCAAGTGTGCAAAACTAGTGTAGTACAAACTAATACAGTACAAATGCTGACTTCCCATAAGACTCAAATCTTGTGACATACTACTCCACTACTACTCCTTGGGTTGGTCCTTCACATAGAGCTGAGAGAAATTAGACATTTAATTACGCCTATGAGTCAAGTCACAGCAAGGATTAAGTCGGCTTTATTTAAAGAAGCATGAAATGCTACACAAATAAAGGCTAATCTACACTATTGAGCCCTGCTCTAAAAACAGACATAGATGTAAAACTGTCTGTGAAGCAGGATTTAAGAAACAAGTGCTTAAAGTTAAAGTTTTAAAAACATGTTTGGCGCCATCTTCTGTCAGTACAGAACATGACGTTATGTGGTTAGTTCGTTACTAATAGACTTATATTAGTTTATATTAGCTAACTTGTGACAGAATCGATAGCTCAGAGGAAAAGTAATGATACTAAAACTAAAAATCATTCTAACGAGATCACTTCTTTGCTGCCCCTGACTGCAACAATGAGTTTTATGTTAACAAACTGAGGATATACTGTCCACTTTCACTGTGTGTCTCTTTTGCAGGAAGTGGCTGGCTGCTGTTTGGCTAGCTGCACCAAACAGGAAAATGAATCTGTTAGTCGTAATGTTTGGATTTGTAAAGCACTTTGTAAATGAGGACTGTGTGGAGCAGAGCCTGTTCCTCACCAGGTCGGGTGTACTGAGCCATGACATCAGCTTGCAAAGCAGATATTGGCAAGATGCCATCAGCACTATTTTATGCAACACAAAAAATTTCTCTCTTTAACGAAACACAACCAGTTTACTACATAACAGGTTACTACATGAGTATCAGACCAAAAACATAACAGGTATTTATTTTTTTTTACCAAAGGGTATTAGAAACCCTAACACTCATCAGCATGTCCACAGGAAAAATGGGCCATTATGTTGTAAAGTGTCTGGATGTGCTCAAGAAGAGAAAGATTATCTTATGACATAAAAAGTGCTGAATGCATCAGCTGATTGCGCTGCTCAGTAAACTTGGCCAGAGGAGGAAAAACCAGTTTATGTCAGCCCGGTGAAAGCACCTGTCACCTGTCTCAAACAGGCTCTCCTCCACACAGTCCTCATTTAGAAAGTGCTTTACAAACTCGAACATTAACAGGTGGATTTTCCTGTCTGAGTGCAGCTAGCCAAACAGCGACCAGCCACGTCCTGCTAAAGAGACATACAGTGAAAGTGGACAGTATATTCTTGGTTTTAACATGAAGCTCATTGTTGTAGTCAGAGGCAGCATAGAAGTGATCCTCTTAGATTGATTTTTAGTTTTAGTATCATTACTTTTCCTCTGAGTTATCGATTCTGTCCCTAGTTAGCTAACATAAACTAATTTAAGTCTATTGGCCGCAATCAACCAACCGATCACATGACGTCACGTTCTGCACTGACAGAAGATGGAGCTAAACATGTTTTTAAAACTATAACTTCCAGCAAAATTCAAGGATAATTTTACATCTATGTCTGTTTTTGAGAACAAGGCTCAATAGTATAAATTAGCCTTTTCGTGTGTAGCATTTCAGGTTCCCTTTAAACACAAAGATATTGTGTGGTGTGGTCCCAGCATGACAGGCAGGTGACTGGTTGATGACAAATCTCCTGCTCTTGATTTTTCATCAGTTGTGGCTTTTTAAAACAGCTGAATGGTATATGAGGTCAAAATTTAGGATTGATGAGCATCATATAAACACTTAATATTTCATTCATCACCTGCTGTTATTTAGTTCTAAGCAAATAACGATATTTTTGTGTTTATTTATGTATTTGTGAAATTCTTTTATGCCTGTAAATCATTTTGTATTGTTGCATAACAAATAAAGGAGTGATTATTCACAAAATACAACAAACGTCATATTAAGATTTATACCTTTTTATAAACCATCTCGAGGTCTATGCAGTTAAATCCTCTCAGACACATTTTGGGGCCTTATGGGGAAAGGAGGTCATTAGTTTAAATTGTGAATTTCTTTTTAATATTTTATGTTTTGATCACACTTTAACACTAATATTTATTGTCTTTTTATGCACATTAAATATCTTTACATATGCATACAGCTAAATTACAGTGTGTGATTAAAAGCATTTAATAAATACATATCTGCAAGTGCTAAAAGTAGTCGCATTAGAGTTCCCCAGACTTTGAAACAAGATTCAAAGTTGGGACTTAAAAGGTAATCTAAGTATAAAAATTCACTTTTTAAATTGTAGTTTAGGAGTAAATGTTAACTGAACACAGGTGTTATTGTAGCAAAGACTGTATTTTACCAGTGAGTTTGTATAGTGGGCAGGAAAACTTCCTATCACCTGCTGTTAGTATCATAACTGACAGGATTTAGTTGCTTCCAGGACAGGCTCCAGGATCCCAGGCTGGATATCTGGGAAGAAAAGGACGAATAGATATGGTTGAAAAACCACTGCTGCTGCTACTCAGCTCATAACACATGAATCAAACTTCAGTGCTGAAACAATTCTTCCAACTACATTACCCACAATTCCATCGAATCAGTTGACAATCACAAGGGAACCAAATAATCTTTAATATGTAGTTTATTATTAAAATTTGGATTTGAATTTTACCTGTACCTGCTTTACCTTTATGTTTCATGCATATGTTATTGCAACTTGCAGAAGGTATCAAAATTACTGTCTCAGCTTTAGACATGAAGATATTTAATCTGAAAACTGAGTGTATGTTTAATTTGTCACAGTAGGGGAAGCACAGGGAGGATTAATGATGGCTTCACTCATCTTAGAGGAGGTCCCGTATGTGGTCATGCTGATTCACAGTCACAGCTTTCTCTGACACTTAGGGCTTATCTCATTTCTCTAATTATGATCACTGAGTCATCATGAGGGAAATTGCAATTTCAAAAATGTATCTAATAGACAGAGAAAGAGTCTATCCTACATTGTTTATGTACTAAAGAGGCAACACAGCAAATATACAAACCACAGTGTGAGGAGCACCTCTTAGTCTTGTGAGATTTTTTGTAAGATGATTGGTTGCATAATATGCAACCAATCATCTTACAAAAAATCTCACATTAACGGTGAGGGACAGAAAGTTTGAATATTATTCAAACTTTCTGTCCCTCACCGTTAATGTGTGATAAATAAAAAGATCAAAAAACTCAAGTGCGTGTTTAAATTTCATTAAAAGTAGGCCTAAATAAAACAGTTTTCATGAACACTATGTATTTATTTGACATCTGAGATCAGAAAATGCGACAGACTGTAACAAAATGATAATCAGTCAGACTAAAAGTCCAAATGATAATCTAAAATAAAAAACTCAAAGTACCATCAACTTTACAAAGCGAAATGTTGCTATGTTTGTATGTCTGAATAAGTTGAACAATTTCAGGATATATGAAGATGCATCTAAAATGCATGCTGGCTGCAGGATGACTCAGGTGTCAGTGTTTCAAACTTAAACCAAATAAAGCTGTATTAAACAGCTTCACCACTAGATGGTAGAAATTAACCAACATGGCCTCAAAGCTCATCGCAGCTCCATAGCCAGAGGAGCACAGGGTTTGCTTTAGACAGTTTTTCATTACTAATGGGAAAAACTAAATAGTGGAGCAGTGTTGGTTACATGTGTGGGCAGCAAAAAGAAACAACATTGAGCACCCCCAGACCTTTGCTCAGTTTAAGCTGCTTTCACTTACAAGTTTTTGCTCAAACTGAAGAAAGCTTTTATCTTTTTAAGTTAGTTAGTTAGAGTCATCTCAAGGCATTTAATAAGTTTAAATTCTCTATAAGAGGAACACTCCCCATGATTCAACAGTACCCTATGAGCAAGCACTTGGCAACAGTGGTGAGAAAACAGGAAAAAACCTGCAACATAACCAGGACTGGGAAAGGTGAGGATAAAGAAGGTAAACAGCTGGCAGGTTGTTTGGATGTGTCAAGTGTGTCTGGAAAATGCAACTCTTGAATTAGAGACACATGGCAGCCTTTCCAAAAGAGCAGCAATATCAATATTTTAGATTTCACTGAAACCCATCGGGGTTTACAACAACACTGCCAGGCCCAGACAATTGGGGTCTGGGATTTTATTTTATTTTTAAATTTATTTTATAAATATTACAATCATTATTTAATTCTGCACCAGATATCTGCTGGGAAGAGTGACTATGTTTCTTTAACATGCCCCATGCATGTGTTTTTATAATATACAAACACAGTATATGTATATATATATAATATATATATATATATATATATATATATATATATATATATATATATATAAAAACACCCAGCACGCCCCTGCGGGCGGTTTATCCTTCAAGCTCGGGTCCTCTACCAGAGGCCTGGGAGCTTGAGGGTCCTGCGCAGTATCTTAGCTGTTCCCAGGACTGCGCTCTTCTGGACAGAGATCTCCGATGTTATTCCCGGGATCTGCTGGAGCCACTCGCCTAGCTTGGGAGTCACCGCACCTAGTGCTCCGATTACCAGGGGACCACCGTTACCTTCACCCTCCACATCCTCGCGAGCTCTTCTCTGAGCCCTTGGTATTTCTCCAGCTTCTCGTGTTCCTTCTTCCTGATATTGCTGTCATTCGGAACCGCTACATCGATCACTACGGCCGTCTTCTTCTGTTTGTCTACCACCACTATGTCCGGTTGGTTAGCCACCACCATTTTGTCCGTCTGTATCTGGAAGTCCCACAGGATCTTAGCTCGGTCATTCTCCACCACCCTTGGGGGCATCTCCCATTTTGACCTCGGGACTTCCAGGTTATACTCGGCACAGATGTTCCTGTACACTATGCCGGCTACTTGGTTATGGCGTTCCATGTATGCCTTGCCTGCTAGCATCTTGCACCCTGCTGTTATGTGCTGGATTGTCTCTGGAGCATCTTTACACAGCCTGCACCTGGGGTCTTGCCTGGTGTGATAGACCCCAGCCTCTATGGATCTTGTGCTCAGAGCTTGTTCTTGTGCTGCCATGATTAGTGCCTCTGTGCTGTCTTTCAGTCCAGCTTTGTCCAGCCACTGGTAGGATTTCTGGATATCAGCCACCTCCTCTATCTGCCGGTGGTACATACCGTGCAGGGGCCTGTCCTTCCATGATGGTTCCTCGTCTCCCTCCTCTTTCTTGGGTTTCTGCTGCCTGAGGTATTCACTGAGCACTCGGTCAGTTGGGGCCATCTTCCCAATGTATTCTTGGATGTTCCTTGTCTCATCCTGGACTGTGGTGCTGACACTCACCAGTCCCCGGCCTCCTTCCTTCCGCTTAGCGTACAGCCTCAGGGTGCTGGATTTGGGGTGAAACCCTCCATGCATGGTAAGGAGCTTTCTTGTCTTTATGTCAGTGGCTTCTATCTCCTCCTTTGGCCAGCCTATTACCCCAGCAGGGTACCTGATCACGGGCAGGGCGTACGTGTTGATGGCCCGGATCTTGTTCTTACCATTCAGCTGACTCCTCAGGACTTGCCTGACCCTCTGCAGGTACTTGGTGGTTGCAGCCTTTCTAGCGGCCTCTTCATGGTTCCCATTCGCCTGCGGGATCCCCATATATATATATACATATATATATATATATGTGTATATATATATATATATATATATATATATATATATATATATATATATATATATATCTACAATGTACACCTTGCAGATAAAATCGGAAATACATTATCACTGCCTAAGAGGACTTTGTAGTGGCAAAGTTGAATGAAGTTAATTTTTATCTTACATGTAATCACAGTAATACAAAGAAATGTTCCAACCTCTGAGTAAATAAAGGTCATTTTTATTACGTGTCAGACTGGTTAAATTGTTTATTTATTTCATTTACCTGCTGTTATAATATGGGAAATCCTTAAAAAAAAAAAGCTGCTGGGATTTTTGCTTGAATCCCAATGTTTCAGTAGCTGCAGAAGGAGGAGCAGGTGGTGGCACTGCCGGCGATGTCGTGGGAGCCACTAATGGTGGCACTGCAGGCGACTGGATGGGCCTCTCGGACCCTCCAGCGGAGGCAGGTTGCTGGACGGGCCTCTTGGACCCTCCAGCAGCAACAGGTGGCTGGACAGAAACTCGGGCCTAAAAAGACAAAGGAAGCAAAACCAGACACATTAACATGAGACACGGACTTTCAAAGTAAAACTGGAAACATAACACAGAGACGCAGACTTGACATGGGGATACAGCAGACAGGGGAGGCAACACAGAACAGAAACCAGCAGGTACAACTCAGACAAAGAAACCAAAAGACTAGAAATGATAAATAAAGGCAAAAATCAAAGTACAATAATAATGAAAACTTAAACCTCTGGGTCAACGACCCAGGCACCCTAACAATTACAATTCAGTGTGTATGACACTGAAGGTGATACTGGTCTCATACTATGTCCTGTGCAGGATCTGTACAAGCCTTTCGATGTGATTTGCATGTTGTCCTTATCTCTGGGCACTCTGGCTTCCTCAGAGTCCAGAGACATGTAGTTAGAGTGTCAGTGGTTATTGAAATGAATAAAATGATTAATTTAGCAGATGTAGAAGATAATTTTAAAAAGTTTGAATAGTATTTTTAAAATGTGAAAAATGCTCCGTTATAAAAAGTGTTAATGACACACAGTCTGATAAACCTCCCACTCTCTGACTCAGCACCTCCTCTCTGTCTACATGTTTCTGTGTTCCCTCCCCTTCAGATCTAAACTTTGAAGATGGGTGTAACCAGCATGTAGTGACGTGGAATAGCTGACAGGCCCCATTTACTGCATTAGTTTCAGTTATAAGGAAGTGAAATTCACACAGTCGCTGATACTGAGAGGAGAAATGGCGCAGAAAGGAGTTCAGCTGGACCAAGAAACTTTCTCTTGTTCGATCTGTTTGGATCTGCTGAAGAATCCGGTGACTATTCCCTGTGGACACAGCTACTGCATGAACTGTATTAAAAGCTTCTGGGATGAAGAGGAAAAGAAGAAAATCTACAGCTGCCCTCAGTGCAGACAGACTTTCACAGCGAGGCCTGTCCTGGTGAAAAACACCATGTTAGCAGATTTAGTGGAGCAGCTGAAGAAGACTGGACTCCAAGCTGCTCCTGCTGATCACTGCTATGCTGGACCTGAAGATGTGGCCTGTGATTTCTGCATTGAGATGAAGTTAAAAGCTGTGAAATCATGTTTAGTCTGTCTGGCTTCTTACTGTAAGGAACACCTTCAGCCTCATTATGATGTTGCTCCATTAAAGAAACACAAGCTGGTGGAGCCCTCCAAGAAGCTCCAGGAGAACATCTGCTCTCGTCATGATGAGGTGATGAAGATGTTCTGCCGTACTGATCAGCAGAGTATCTGTTATCTCTGCCCTGTGGATGAACATAAAGGCCACGACACAGTCTCAGCTGCAGCAGAAAGGACTGAGAGGCAGAGAGAGCTGGAGGTGAGTCGACAAAACATCCAGCAGAGAATCCAGGACAGAGAGAAAGATGTGAAGCTGCTTCAACAGGAGGTGGAGGCCATCAATCAGTCTGCTGATCAAACAGTGGAGCACAGTGAGAAGATCTTCACTGAGCTGATCCATCTCATCCAGAAAAGAAGCTCTGATGTGAAGCAGCAGATCAGATCCCAGCAGGAAACTGAAGTGAGTCGAGTCAAAGAGCTTCAGGAGAAGCTGGAGCAGGAGATCACTGAGCTGAAGAGGAAAGATGCTGAGCTGAAGCAGCTCTCACACACAGAGGATCACATCCAGTTTCTACACAACTACCCCTCACTGTCAGCACTCAGTGAGTCTACAGACTCATCCAGCATCAATATCCGTCCTCTGAGCTACTTTGAGGATGTGACAGCAGCTGTGTCAGAGGTCAGAGATAAACTACAGGACATTCTGAGAGAGGAACGGACAAACATCTCACTGACAGTCACTGAAGTGGATGTTTTAGTGCCACAATCAGAGCCAAAGACCAGAGCTGGATTCTTAAAATATTCACGTGAAATCACACTGGATCCAAACACAGTACAGAAAAATCTTGTATTATCAGAAGGACACAGAAAAGCAATACTTATTTTTGAAGATCAGTCTTATTCTCATCATCCAGACCGATTCACTGGATATGAACAGGTCCTGAGTAGAGAGAGTCTGACTGGACGTTGTTACTGGGAGGTGGAGTGGAGAGGGATAGGAGTTGATGTAGCAGTGACGTACAAAAATATCAACAGAGAGGGGAATGAATGTAGATTTGGATGTAATGATAAATCTTGGGCATTAGAGTGCAACAACAAGAGATATATATTTTGGTACAACAACATTCAAATTCCCATCTCAGGTCCTCGTTCCTCCAGAGTAGGAGTGTACCTGGATCACAGAGCAGGTATTTTGTCCTTCTACAGCGTCTCTGAAACCATGACTCTCCTCCACAGAGTCCAGACCACATTCACTCAGCCGCTCTATGCTGGACTTTATCTTAGTGGATGGTTTGTGTTTGGAACAAGTGTTGAATTCTGCAAACTGAAATAAATGGAGATAATTATCAGCTGCAAGGGTGAGGTTGGTATTAATTTTAAATTTTTGAGTCTTTTTGTTTGTGTATGACATTATGGCAAAAATGATCCAGTATAAATCTAGTGCAGCACGTTTTTTTCACAAATAGCAGTTGGAATGTGTTTATATGTCTGTTGGGAGAGATTTTGTGTTAATGTCACCACTGTGGAAGAAAAATGTGCAGCTCTGTAGCCTGAAGATGAAGATAAACACAAGCTTGGGGGGGAATGGCCCCTTCCAGGAGTGGAACACTGTGTGTTGTGTTTGTAATGTGTTTGTAACACCTCTATAACACACCTTTCCTCCACAATGACAGCAGACTGATTAGTCATTAGAATTGGGACTGATGTGCTTCAGTCACAATTCTCTGCATTAATGTTTTATTTTTGTTATTTTTAATGTTATTTTAAACTCTTTTACCTTTGTTAACAAAAAACATTTGCTTTAAGATAAAAAGTGGAGATTGTCATTTGTTTGCTTTTTAATTACACGATTTATTTTGTTCTCCTTGTGACTAAAAATAATTCATTGCACAGGATTAAAGGCTACTGGAAACCAATGATATGAAGTTTGTCTTCAAATAAATACATTTAAATATTTGAGTCTTGGGAACATTTTTGTGTTTTGACAGTTTTCAATAAAGATTAAACTTCAGAATGGGTTGGTACTTCTGTACTTTTGTACTTTTGTACTTTAGCGTCACAGTGTTTTATAGACAGAATCCAGATGAGTAAACACTAACATCTGAAAGAAAAAAATATCATTTTATTTGGTTGCAGTGTGTGTAGACTTTACTCTTTTGACTTTTGCCCATTTTACGACTCGATAGACACTGGGTGATATTTTTGTGCAAAGATTATCTATTTCACCATTTGGTTTCAACAGAAAGATGTCATTTTCTAAATTCATGAATATGTTTTTAGCTTTGCTAAAGTACACAACTAAAGTACAGAGCACTAGTGGATAATTTTGTGGAGTGCTCTGGGAGAAATCATCTACTTCTGAATGTGGATCAGGTCAGAGAGACAGGAATCAACTTCAGAAGGACGAGGACAGCTAAAAGATCTCTGTCTATCCTGATACAGGATGTTGATGTGGTGGAGGAGTACCTGTGTGTCTACATCAACCAACATTTAGTTTGTAGACAAAAAGAGATGAGAAGGCCCCTTTTCTGAAGAAAGCTGAGATCCTGAGAACTGGTGATCTTTCGTCCATGTAGAACTTCTTTAAATTTGGCTACTTTCCTTTAAAAAATATAGTAAAATGTAAGCAAGGTTTATTTTTGAGTTTTATTTATAACAAGGAAGAAATTAAAGGAATAATATGAACCCTTGATCCCTTCTCTGTGGAGGAATCCAGTGATTCTGTTGCACTGTGGTACTTTTCTGCCTTTGTTTGGGTCCTTTTGTCAATGAGAAAAATCACTGCAAAACAATACAAAGCTGTTATGACTTTTATCCTGGGGTGATACACTTCTAATAGGAGTGGTCTGAAGAGGGTCACTGAATAGCTGATAAGTATATGCTATGGGTTTAATGTAGAAACCATGAAATACTGAAGCTGCTTTGGAAGCACATGATGCACAAACACCTTACTAACAAAAGTTTTCCTTTAATTTGTCAATTGTTTGCATGTTTGGCTCCGGCCCATTTGTTTTGAATTATGATGTCATGAGCCTTTTTAAGCCTATGATATATTTGCTGTGTGTGACAGCAATAATGCAATTCAGTCGATCATGTGAAATCATTTCTCTTTTTCTGAATTTTACTGACACTGGTCAGTTGTATCATTGTGAATGTCCTTAGGAATATTGGGAGGCAGATTAAATAAATTAGATTTTTTTTTTGTCTTACTGTCTAACTGCAAATAATCTGACACTTGGTATATTCCTCTCTAGTCATTAAAAACATTTAGGGGTGCATATTTTCTACATTTGGTTATCACCTGTCCACCAGATTTTAGAGTTTGTAGTTACATTTGGGGTGACACTGGTCTCATATTGTGTACTCCATATTGTCTTTAAAATGCATGAAAGTATTGCATGAATTTAAGCGTGACAATAGAATTTAATCCTCTTAAGCTGCTTCCTTTGATGTGGAAAATAGTTTTTGGGCGCTTTATATACTCATACATGACCCTTTTATCTGTTTAGCGAGACAAATAGAGATTGTAATCAATGAGCAGATCATTTGTTATGTTAAATGTTATTTTAGATGTTGGAACACATTTTTCTTATAAATCAAATGTTGAACACTTTTTTTTCTCACTCACTCTCACTCAAATCTGACAAAGAAAATGTTAAACTAACCTGCGAAAACCATGGGTTCAGAGTTCAATGTTAGAGCAGAAGATTCAGCTTTCTTCACTAAAACAGCTTTACGTTACACAGAAATTAGTGTTGTTTTACTGTCTGATTGAAGACATTTCTTGATGCATCACACCATCACAAGTAAAGTTGCTCCGCAGTTTCCAACTCTGATATGTTTTAGGAAATTTGTAAACTGAAAACTCTTCTCTCCCATCTTTCCATGGTCCTTGAATGCAGCATCAGTGTTACAGGTTGTGACTCCTGTGAACAAACTGACACAGTGTGATGTTACACATATTTAAATCTGTCTTTACTGATGATGTTGAAGCTGCTGAAGGCTCAGTGAAGTTTTGTCTTCCTGCAGGTTAACAAGTGAAATCTGAAAGTGATGCACAACACAAGAGGGCGCCTTCATCCTGCTAACAGGGATGTAGAGGAGGTTAAAGCACCTCAGCTCAGTTTGTCCACATGTTTTACATTCTGCCATATTTTTAGGCTGAATAAAGCCTTTATCATAAAGTGCACTGTGTCATAGATCCTGGTAAACTGGATCAAAGCATCATTAGTTAGTCACTTATTTAGTTTGGAGCTGTATCATTCAACATTGTAGTAGCAAGATTTCCTTCAGCTTCTGTTAAAAACAGAAGAGGACTATTGATGAGAACAAACAGCAGGGACACAGTATCTCAGCAATCACCACGGTTTAACATGACCAGTAAACATCTCATAAAATGGTACATCGTGGTCTACAGTCTGTTTCCTTCAGTTCTGTAAGTTTCTCAGTTTTCAAGTTCTGTTTAAACATCTTTTAGTTAAGTTTTCATGTGTTATTCTAGAACTCCTGTTATGAATGCTGAGTTTGTATTTCCACTGTTTCCTAGTTTAGTTAATCATGTTTCTGTTTTCAGAATGAGTTTTTTTTTTTTTTAATAAAGTGTGTAAGAAAGAGACAGTAAATGCAAAAGACTAATTCACAGCCTTATTTAGTCAGATTTGTAGAGACACAAACTGTTCACAAATGTTTGGCAAAACATTTTATAGAGGTCAGAATCATAGTTTTTATTCATTTTATTAATTGGTGTTAAAATAGTGATGATTAGTGGTGTTCCATGCAGAAGGAAAAAATGAGGGTCATGTGGCAAATTAGTTAAAACTATTTTTGTCATCAAAGTGTGATTGTGGCTGTTTTATGCTGTCAATAAAATATGTAGATCTTTTAAGTAAACATTCAAAAATAATGCCCTTTACAGTGAAAATACTTCAGTAGAAAGAGACTCTAAATGTTGTTTTAAGTGTGTATCAGCAATAAAATGCCCTTATGATAAAACAAAACAAAAAAAATGTTAAATAAAACAACCCTTGTGTGTTTTTTCTTTTTCAGTTACGTGAGACATATAATGTTTTTGGATTAATTTTACTGCTATGTTTATGTGTCTGTTGTATATTATTGCTGTTGATGTTTTCATTAGTTCATATATTTTGGAGTTTAGATATATTTTGAATTAAGTTATGAAACAGTTATGGAAATGTACGATTTTGTCAGCCCATAAAGAATACTTTGATACATCACTTTATCCTTAATTTTATCAGAAACATTCAAAATTATCTCTAGACATGAGGACAATTATCTGATATTACAATTAAATATAAGCGTAACGGTTTCAGAGGATTGTAGTTGGTGCAGTATATTCAAAGACAAATATTTGTCTCAGAGAAGTAATAGAGTTAAAGGGATAAAGGAAATGCAAATGAATAAAGAAATATTTTATTTCCACTTTTGATACATTTTTCCCAAGTGTAACATACAATTTACATGTCGTTGGCGTTAACGTTGCTGTTGGCTCCAGGACCCAGCTTAACGACCTTGTACCTGTCCGTGAACGTCTCTCGGCCTCGGATACCAATGAATCGCTTCTGTGGCGGTTGCTAGGCAACAGGAGCAGCGCGACGTAAGCGAGACAGTCCCATTTAAAGCCGCTCGGTTCGGCCTTCATGGCCTATGGATGCAGCTGCTGTAGTGGGGCGCTGCTTCGTGCTGCTCACAGGCTCTGATGGATGCTAGCTTCATGTGTGACGGACTGTTAGCTGGAAGAGTTTATTTTGGTGCTACGACTGAGAAACATTTCAGGGTCTGAAGCAATAGTGGAGAGACTGGCTGACTGCTGCAGAAGAAATCTGCTCTGAGGTTAACAGAACGTCTGATCGTCCAGTATGAGATCAACCTTCAGCAGAGACTGCTGGATATCAGCCGGAAACCCGAGATAAAGTTACGCATAACAGGTAAAACTGCGATGGTCTCAGTGGACTAACACAAGAATACAACTCATGTAGGACCTGATCAGAGCTCAGCTTGTAGGCTAACATACTGAAATCAGGGAGCGGCTAATCACACAAGTGCGTCTCTTTTTTACGGTAAACTTTTAGCATTAAACAAACCTTGAGACCGAGAGAAAGTGCCTTTATAGAAGATTTATTTAGAAGATTAAGATAAAGGAGGCAGGGAGGGAAAGCTTCTGTTTTCTGCACTGTGCCACAGTTCGCTGTCTGCTTCGGCTCTCTGACCCTCACTCCGGGGCTACAGACAGTCCTCTGCCGCCTGTGGTGCTCCTCACCTCCGTCTGCACCCACAGGCTTCCCGAGGTGGAGGCAGGCCGGCAGGGACTTTGAGAGATGGGCTTTACTTTCAAAAATACCCCTTAATCAGGGTCTAACCCTACAAGACCATCGTGCCTCCCCCACCATCCTCACCTCATTTTAAAATGTATATTTTTCAACTGAATTATATTTGGGTTCAAGAAAATGATGAAGTTTTTAAAATAACTTTGTAATGTTCTAATAAACAGTCTTAACTCGAACTAAATCAGCTCAAATCTCACAGATGTCAGTGTTATTCACAAAGCATGGAAACATAGTTGTTAGTTTTGAATGCAGCCACAGCAGGCAAACTATGGCTGCATGCTCCAAAGAACAGGAGCACAGTAACTGAACACACTCTTAGCACACTTACATCTGATTTTGGGAACAGTTAACAGATCTGAACCTGATGACCTGAGAGGTTTAACTGGGTCAAAGGTCGAGAGCCAATTGAAAACTGTCCGGTTAAACCAACTAAATGATGAAACCTTTGATTTAAAATGTCATGATCAACAGTATCAAAGGCAGCAATGAGATCAAATAGAACTAAGACTGAAACTCTGAGTCCCTAATAATCTTCAGATCACTGATGACTTTAGTTGGGTT